TTCCTTGTAGATTCAGTTTCCATATTTTATATTAAAATATTTAAGTGGATGATCATATATTTTGAGCAGAAAGATTTTCAGTCAAAAGGGTTGGAACAAAAAGACTGTTCTAGTTAAATTTCTCTTAAATAATCCCAGTTCTGTCACTAATTGACTGCCACGTTGGGCCATTTATTTAACCTCTTGTTCCTCTGCTACCTAATCTATAAAATGAAGTTGGACTAAATGATCTCTGAGGTCCTTTTCCAGCTGTGAAATTCTATGATTGTCATCAATGATTGTATAAATAAAAAATTCAATTAACAAGAACATCTTAATCCCTAAGCATTATCATTAAATTGAGATTTTACTTTTGCAAAGAGCAATTATTTTATATACACAGTAGGAAAAGGAAATGCTCACATGTCTTCTTTTCTAGCCACAAATGAACTTCATCAGGAAAGCCATTTTTACATGATATGAGTAATCTTCTTTTAGTCAAATACAGGGACTTCTCTTCCTGTGAAGGGACATCATTGAGAGTTCTTTGTTTAATGAACGAATTTACTACCTAGCTCAGAATAGCTGTGTCATTCTTTTTATCCCAGTCTATTGAAACACACTAGACTACATGGTAGATGATCAGCACAGAAGAATTTCTTCAATCTTCAACTACCAATCTTGGCTTTTATGTACTCCTGGACTGTTCTAGAGTGTCTTTGCATGTAGCTTATATTTTCATTCCTTCATCCCATGGTCTTTGCTTAATATCCTCTTGCTGACCTGTCTTCCCTCCTTTGCCCAAATTCTATGACAAGACTTCCGGGAAGTGTTCTCACTAACACTAACTAACTCACCCACATAGAATTTCCCTCCATGAACCATCCCCTTAAGTGAAACTCTTTACTTTCATATAAATGCCACAAATAATCTGAGCACAAGTATAATATAATCACAGAATAAAAATAATTTTATAAAGATTTATTTATTTATTTGAAAGGCAGAGGGAGAGGGAGAGAGAGAGAGAGCTCTTCTATTCGTTGGTTCACTCTCAAAATGGCCGCAATGGCCAGATCTGAGCCGATCTGATCAGCAGTCAGGAGCTTCTGGATCTTCCTCCAGGTCTCCCACATGGGTGAGGGACCCAAGGACTTGGGCCCTCTTCTACTGCTTTCATAGGCCATAGCAGATGGCTGGATCAGAAGTGGAGCAGTCAGGACTTGAACCAGCACTTATATGGGATGGACTGCAGGCAGTGGCTTTACCCGCTATGCCACAGTGCTAGGCCCTAAAGAAAATAATTTAACTGTAACAAGTAATACATGGTCTTCTGAATTTTCAAGTGTTTCATTGTGTTATAAATGACATTGTATAAATTTCACATGTAAAATTTGAAATTTAATAAATTTTAACATACTTGCCTTATACACTTATGAATCCATCAACAGGATCAAAATGTGCCTTTCATTCTCTAAACTAATCTTACCACCTTTTCTTTGCCATATTTTTTACTTATTCTCACACTCCTCTTACCTGTCCTCTGACATCTACAATTATTTTCAGGCTTCTGATACTATAGATTATCTTGCATTTTCGTGAATCTTATAGAAATTAGTGAGACTAGCAGATGAAGCTGGTAGAGTGCAGGTTTGAGTCCTAATGACTCCATTTCCAATCTAGCTTCTTGCTAATGCATTCTGGGAGCCAGCAGATGATGATTCGAGAGCTGGGACCCAAATAGTGCTCTGCCATCAGTGAGGGAGATCCAAATGGTGCTCTAGGCCCCTAGTTTTAACTTGGACCAGCCCTGGGTGTTGCTCATTGTTGCCTGTATCAGTAACTAGCTCATTCCTGTTTGTGGCTGAGTGATATTCTATTGTATGAAATAACAGTAATTTGGCCAGCGCTGCGGCTCACTAGGTTATTCCTCTGCCTTGCGGCGCCGGCACACAGGGTTCTAGTCCTGGTCGGGGCACTGGATTCTGTCCCGGTTGCCCCTCTTCCAGGCCAGCTCTCTGCTGTGGCCAGGGTGTGCAGTGGAGGATGGCCCAAGTGCTTGGGCCCTGCACCCCATGGGAGACCAGGATAAGTACCTGGCTCCTGCCATCGGATCAGTGCGGTGCGCTGGCCGCAGTGCGCCGGCCACGGCGGCCACTGGAGGGTGAACCAACGGAAAAGGAAGACCTTTCTCTCTGTGTCTCTCTCTCACTGTCCACTCTGCCTGTCAAAAAAAAAAAAAAAGAAATAGCAGTAATTTGCTTATCTATTTTCCCACATTTTGATTATTACAAGTAAAGTTGCTGTGAATATTCCTGTTAAATTCTTTGTACTAATATATAATTTGTTTCTTTTGAGTAAATATTTGGAATGGCATAGCTGGAAAATATAATTTTTTAAAGAAACTATAAAATTGTTTTCTGTAGTAATTGTACTATTTTAACAGCAACAACGTATGAGAAGTAAATTTCATTCACATCCTCTTCTTGGTAATCAGTATTTGTGATTATAACCATTCTAACAGATGTGTAGTGGCACCTCACAATAATATATAAAGAACACTAAAACTTCAGTAATGAAGAGACAAATACCTTAAAAAAAATGAAGAAAAAGTCTAAATAGACTCTTCTTCGAAAAAATGTATTGATAGGAAATATATAAATAAAATTAAGCTCAGCATTGTTAATAATTAGAAAATTATATTGAAATATTGCAATTCATATAAAAATCCGACAAGGGTCAATTAACATGAAAAACTTCTTACAAAACTTATGTCTACTTTCCTATTTAGTTGTGCATAGTTAATGCCATTTTTAGAAAGATTTCTTTTTTAATTTATTTGACAGAGTGAGGCAGTGAGAAAAAGAGAGAGAGAAAGGTCTTCCTTCCGTTGGTTCAACCCCAAATGGCCGCCAAGGCCGGAGCCACGCGTATCCGAAGCCAGGAGCTAGGTGCGTCTTCCTGGTCTCCGACTTGAGTGCAGGCGCCCAAGGACCTGGGCCATCCTCCACTGCCTTCCAGGGCCACAGTAGAGAGCTGGACTAGAAGAGGAGCAATAGGGACAGAATCCGGGGTGCTGGCGCCACAGGCAGAGGATTAACTAAGTGAGCCACGGTGCTAGCCCCAGTTAATGCCATTTTACATATGGAATTTAGTATTATTTTTGCCATAATGGAGTGTAAAAGAATTTAGTGTATAAGTGTTTTTCAGATTATGTGCTTGCTGTGGATTACCAAGAATTAAACATATATATCTATACATATTTTCATATTGCTTTCCACAAACATTGTGCTCTCCATGAAATTCCTGTCAAAAGATGAAAACTCTCCTCTTCACAAACTTATAAATGCATTAATTTTGAAAATTTTTTCAAATGTACTTCCTGAAAAATTGATTTTAATTTTAATTAAAATATATTTTATCATTTTTGATAGATTTTTAAACACATTTACAAAGTGACATTTCTTTTTCATGAATTGTGACTAATATGCTGTATTCTTTTATCTAGAGTCTCAGTGTTAACTTTATGTATTACAGTCATTCAATTTTTTTCCATTGGAAATCACAAGGGGCTTCAAGAAGTTCATGGTGAATGTGCATTATAAAGAAAAAATTATATGTGGATTGAAAAATTTTTTGCACCAAAATAAATTTATGTTTTTTAAAAGTATATTTATGTATTTATTAACAAGTCAGAGTGACAGAAAGAGAGAGGAAGAGAGAGAGAGAGAGAGAGAGAGAGAGATGCCTTTCATCTGTGGGTTCACTCCCCCAAATGGCTGCACAGCTGAGCTTGGTCCAGGTTGAAACTAGGAGCCAGGAACTCCATTTGGCTCTCCCATGTGGGTGGCAGTACTTGAGCTTTGAAAGGCAGTTAGAGAGAGAAAGAGAAGGAAAGACACAGGGAGAAATCTTCCATCTATTGGGGCTGGACCAAGCAGAGGTCAGGAACCAGGAGCTTCCTTTGGGTCTCCCATGTCGGTGTAGGGCCTCAAGGACTTGGACCATCCTCCACTGCTTCCCCAAGTGCATTAACAGGGAGCTGGCTCAGAAGTGTAGCAGTCGTGGGGCCGGAGTTGTGGCGCAGTGGGATAATGCCCTGGCCTGAAGCGCCTGCATCCCATATGGGCGCCGGTTTGAGACCCTATTGCTCCACTTCCAATACGTCTCTCTGCTGTGGCCTGGGATGGCAGTAGAGGATGGCCCAGATCCTCGGGCCCCTGCACCTGCGTGGGAGACCTGGAAGATCGGTGCAGCTCTGGCCATTGTGGCCAATTGGGGAGTGAACCATCAGATGGAAGACCTCTCCCTCCCTCCCTCTCTTTCTACCTCGCCTCTCTCCATGTAAATCTGACTCTCAAACAAACAAATAAATAAATAAATCTTTAAAAAAAAAAAAAAAAAAAAAGAAGTGTAGCAGTCAGGACTCCAAGTGGTGATCACATGGGATTCTGACACTGCAGGTCATGGCTTTAGCCCTCTGCACCACAGTGCCAGCCACTCAAGTATCTTTTATTCCATTTTTCCAGAGACTTTCTGAAGCCCTTTCATATGCCATTTTTGGCAAGCCACTTCACCCCTCTGTCTCAGTATGTCATTGATTACTGCCTGTCCATTTAAAGCATGCGTCAAATGCTTAGCTGGCAGTCAATGTCTTTGTTAATTTGAACAAATTACTTCACTTTACCTAGTTTTTCTTACCTCTTTATTCATAAAGGCTTTAAAACTGGCCATCTCTATTATATTTTCCACTTAAATATTCTGTCTTTTTAGTCAACTCTTTGTGAAATAAGGCAATCATGTGTGAACATATATAAAATTAAAAACCCAGAAATCAAAACAGTATAATAGGAATATCAGATGTTTTGGTCCAGATTATTTTATATCAAAGTTCTGGCATTATTACTTACTATGTGTATGGCATTGTATCGGTTATTTAAATTCTATGAAACTTGGGGCCCGGGTTGTGGCACAGTGGGTCAAGCTGTCATCAGTGACATCAGCATCCTTCATGAGCTGGTTTATCCTGTCTGCCCCACGTCTTATCTGGTTCCGTGTTAATGCATCTGGGAAAGCAGCAGAAGATGGCCCAAGTGCTTGTGGTCCTGGAACCCAGATGGGAGAGTGGAGTTGCTGGGTCCTAGCTTTGACCTGGCACAGCCCCAGCTGTTGTGGCCATTTGAGGAGTGAACTATCAGATGGAACATTGACCTCTCTCCTCTCTCTGTCCTCTGTTTCTTTTTCTCTGTCTGTTACTCTGCCTTTCAAGTAAACAAAAAGAATAAATAAATAATTAAATAAAAAGAAAACTCTCCAAACTTTATTTGCTTAGCTGGGAAGTACTAGCTTGCATTTGTTATGGTTGTGATGAGGACCAGGTTACAAAAAGTCTTATACTCTGGGACTGTGTCCGTTAAGAACTCCAACAAGGAACAGATGACATACTTTAAACATGTTATTTCTGGGATGATTTATTTACAACATATTGATTATAAAGGTGTAGACATATAGTAATCACAATGAATACTTCAATAATCTGTGAATTAATAGAAGCCCAAGTAATTATCACTTAGGCTCAGAGACAGTCATGGAAGATGGAGTTTGGGAAGCCTAAAGACCACAACCTTGCATGATCTTGTACCATCATGTATATATGATCTTGGCTTTGAGGGAAGCAATGACCATCGGTGGAGACACAGCTTAAGATAGGAATAAATCTACTTCAGAATGATTTAAGTCTGAGCTTCAGAATTTTGACTCAAATAGGACCTGTGATGTCCAGGTAACTTTATAAATATATTCACAGAAGGTTCTTCATATTTGAATTTCAAGAAGGTAAAAATTTTATTGTCAATAACATATGAGTCTGTAAACCATGAGAAGATTTTATACAATTGTTGTATTGTCAAGAAAGTGCTGTAATAGACATAACACAGGATCTGATGTAATTTTCCATATTTGCCTCACATAAGACTTGTAGTACCCATTTAACAATATGATATGATACAATCTGCATTCTGATCTGTCACAAGTTTCTCTTGCTCAAATCTGCCTATGCAAGCCTCAGCCTCATATACAAGGCTCTCAGTCTTTTTCTGTTTTTTATTTTTTCCTCTAAGTATAATCTTTAAGTGCTGGATCTTTATCAATTGATTTCTATAGAAAGTTATGCTTCACTTCAATATTTTCTGGCAACTGCTGTCTTGGAGTAGATTCCAGCTGCTCTTTGCCCTTCTATCCTGAGAGCTCTGTGTCTGCTGGCAGCTGCTATTTCTTCATAGAATTAACACTCTCTTCTTTACTTTTGATGATGTAAAAAGTGTTTGCAGTCCCAGTGTTTAAAAGAGTCACTTCTTGCTGAGAGTCAGAACTGGATTGGCTGTTGCAGCGAAATTTGGATGCCATGATGCTTCTTTGGACAGCAGTAGCTCAAGGCACTGTTCTTTAATTATTTCATGTCTTATCTGTCAGGAAATTAACAACGATAGACAGCACAATGAGAAGAGTACTAGAAAAGAAATCTGAACCCTGGGCTATAGAAGGTGTGTCCATTTTCTAACTTTGTCATTTGGAAAAATTACCTAAATTTTTGGTCCCAAACTTTTCTTTTTCTTATTTGGAGAAAAGAAATAAAATGCTGTTTAACTTAACTCGTATGATTGTTTTAAGGCTCAAATGAGATGATGGATGTAATATGATTTGCAAACTCCAAGTGGAAGGGATTATTACTATCTGGAAAAATGCATATTTTTTAGTCTTTGGAAACAGCACAGTATGTTATGCAAATTAGTATTGACTTTGTGTTCATATTTTCCCATTTGACTAGCCAAATAAAGAAGATATTTATTTCTCATGGAAATCCCAAGGGATATTAACCAATCTTTCTTTGGTATATTTAATATAATTCTAAAAATTAATAAGCTACATTTAGAGTAATCACAGATACAAGACTGCATAAATCAAATCATAATCATGTTCACTTCGCACTGATAAATTTTTGAAGAGTATAGTATACCTTGCTATTCATGAGTTCAATGGTTTTCAAGCCTCCGCATTATTTTTCCTTAAGCTATAAAACTTCAAAAATTATTATACTGACTTGACAAAAGAAATTGTATGACCTTCATTAAAGGCAACGATTATTATTAATATATTAATGCTAGGATTGCACTATACTGTTGAAATGAATCAGCCTGCTGAATGGTTGCTTGGATCTTTAAATGTTTATGTGAGTTAAAATTTTATTAGCTAATGTTATTTTGCTTATATTTCTTCTTTTATAAACCAAATCATAATAATCACACTATCATTGCCTAATGTTCTATCTTTATTATTAATAGTTAGATTCTATACTGTTTCTCTATGTGCAGCAGAGAGGATTTTAAAATGAAAACAAAAATATTAAATCAATACTTTAAAACACTAAGATTTCTTCCACTGTTTTAGAATTTTAAAGTAACTATCTGACTTTATTTTCTCTATCCCAATCAGAATGCTTGAATATTTGAACATTTTCCTCAATGTTTGCATTTTTTGTTGTTGTTTTATTGTTGTCATCTGCTATTTTGAAGGATTTAATGGCATTCACTGAGTGTTTACTGTTTGTTTGGTCGTAGACACCAGGTGCTGTGGGAAGTAAAATTAATGGCTTCTCTCATGGGGATTACCTTCCAATACAGAGAGCAGATATAAACACGTAGCCAAATAATTAAACAAGACACTTTCATATGGTAATAAGTTCTGTAATAACAACACTGGAATATAGGATTAGAAGTGACTGGTGTAGAAAAGGAATTTCTACTGTAAGTGGAATGGCCAATGAAAGTCTCATTCATGAAGTAACATTTGAGATGAGACCTGAATTACCGCAAAGGACCAGGCTTTTGGAGAACTGCAATAAGGAATGTGTAGAATTTAAAAAGAACAGGAAAAGGTCTTGAGAGAATGAGCCGAACAAAGAATATCTGTTAGGTGTGAGTGTGGTTAATGCTTAGATAGGAAGGCAGAGACCACAAAAATGAACATATTGTTGGCTAACACAATTAATTGAGATTTTATTCTAATTGAAGTCAGAATCTATTGGAAAGATTTAATCATTAGTGACATGATGTGATTTATATTTTTGAAAATTTGCTTTGACTGAGGCATGCAGGAAATGTGAGTCACATAAAGCCAGTAGGGAAAACTGGAGACAGAAGGCTGTTACAGTATCCCAGGTGAGAAAAAATGCTAGTGGTCCAGGTGTGCAGTCAATGAATATTGTCAGCTTTGAGGTGTATTTGAAAAATATAGCCACTAAATCTGCCAGGTGAATTAGATGTTTGTGGTGACAGGGAAATTGATTTTGTCTCTGATATTTGTGATCATCCAAGTATCATTAATTGTGAGTGGATAAAGATATCTGGAAGAAAAGAGGTAGAGGAGTTGGGTATATCTGGGAATGAGGTTGAGTCCTGATTTAAACTTAATAGATTCTGAAATGCCTATTGGGTACCCAAATAGAGATGCTGAGTAGCCACTTAGTTATATAATTCTAGAACATGGATTATCCATCCTAATAGAAAAGAAAATTGATTTTATAAATTAATCAATAGTAACATAATTAACATTCTTTGAGTAATTTTTACCTATTAAGATTTTTGGTATGGCCAGCGCCGCGGCTCACTAGGCTAATCCTCTGCCTGTGGCGCCAGCACTCCGGGTTCTAGTCCCGGTCGGGGCTCTGGGTCTGTCCCCGTTGCTCCTCTTCCAGTCCAGCTCTCTGCTTTGGCCCGGGAGTGCAGTGGAGGATGGCGCAAGTGCTTGGGCCCTGCACCCACGTGGGAGACCAGGAGGAGGCACCTGGCCCTGGCTTCTGATCGGCTCAGCACGCCGGCCATGGAGGCCATTTGGGGAGTGAACCAATGGAAGGAAGACCTTTCTCTCTGTCTGTCTCTCTCACTGTCTAACTCTGCCTGTCAAAAAAAAAAAAAAAAAAAAAGGATTTTTGGTATAATGATTTAGAAGGTCCTCACAAAAACTGTGAAATATTTCTCAAAATTATAACTTGAGAGAGAACTATCTCTTAGAAAACTTACATGATGTTAGAGTTTACAAATTTAAATTCAGGCATGTCAGACTTCAAGCTTCATACCCTTTCTAGTAAAACATAGTGATATGCAGATATATATATATATTTTTTTTTTGACAGGCAGAGTGGACAGTGAGAAAGAGATAAAACTTTCATTATTTTCATAAGCATTGACAGGACATTTTCAAGTTTCCTTGTGCTACTTCCAGTTTTGCATTTTACACCAATTACATAACATGGTAAATCGTATGGCTCCAAAGATTACCATTCATCAAAAGTAAAGTTAATTAATGAGCATTTAAGTTTAAGTGTGAATTTATCTTTTCCACTATCTGCTTAGCAATTTGTTTTCTGGCCTAAGAGCGAATAGAAGAAAGTAAAAATGTGTAAGTTCAATGCATATTTGTAATGTATTTTTCAATGTTTGAATTTATTCATTTAATAATTAGAAAAACTGGAATGGGTTTCATTACATTTGTGACTAATTAATGACACATTTAATATCTATTACTAATCTAGAAGCCTCACGTGTGAAGACTAAGCCACTATTTTGTTTTGGTGTTGCCGCATTTCTTCTCTTGAGATTTCCTAACAAACTGTAGGTGCTCAAGAGAAACTTGCTGAGTTAATAAAGAAAACAATAAACTTGCACTTTTTTTCCTTCTACTTTCTACTTAGTGTTCATCTTCAAAGATTCAGTGACTATTTTGTGTAGGTGACTGGAAAGGGTTGAATGGTGATTCCTAAAAGATACGTTATTTTCCTAATCCCAGGAACCTATGAATATAACCTAATTTGTAAAAATGGTATTTGCAGATTTAATTGTTAGGAATTGAGATAAGACAATCCAAGATTACCCAATGATAAGGGTCTGTACAAGATGTACACTGTTGGGGCTGTGTTGTGTTATAGTAGGGAAAGCTGCTGCCTGCAGTGCTGGCATCCTATGTAGACGTCAGTTCAAGACTTGGCTGCTCCACTTCCAATCCAGCTCCCTGCTACTGTACCTGGGAAAGCATCTGAGAATGGCCCAAGTGTTTGGACCCTTGCACCCGCGTGGAAGACCTGGAAGAAGCCCCTGTCTCTTGGCTTCAGCTGGCCCCACCCTGGCTGTGGAGGCCATTGGACAATGAACCAGTGAATTGAAGATTCTCTCTCTCTCTCTCTCTCTCTCTCTCTCAACTCTGCTTTTCAAATAAATAAATCTTTTAAAAATATACTGTTGCTGGGGATATAAGCTCATACAATCATTATGACAGATAACATTTTCAGAAATCTGAAAATAGATCTACCATATGACCCAGCCATTCCACTCTTGGGAATTTACGCAAAGAAAATGAAATCATCACATGAAAGAGTTATTTGTATCCCCAAGTGTTCCACAGCTCAATTCACAATACCTAAGATACAGAATGAACCCAGACGTCCATCTTCTGATGACTGGATAAAGAAATTCTGGTATGTATACATGATGAAATACTACTCAGTCATAAAAATTAATTAAATTCTGTCTTTTGCAACAGAAAGGATGCAACTAGAGACCATTATGCTTAGTGAAATAAGGCAGTTCCCAAAAGACAAAAGATCATATTTTTCTCCCTGTTTGTGGTAAGTAATATACAGAGTAAAAAAAAGTGATGTATATGAATGAAACTGACATTTTGAGATTTTATTAGTGCTTATAGCCCTTACCTATCCTTGAGAAACAGCAGTTTTTCTAATTATTACTTTTTGAATTTTTATTTAGTGAATGGCTAAGCTTGTGATTATAAAGAAAATTGAACGTGTGTCATTGTAAAAATTTAAAGAAAAACAGTAAAAGAAGGACAAGAGAAGGTAAGAGTGAAGGAGGGGTGGACAGTGGGGTACAAAGTATCATTATGCTCCTAAAACTGCATATATGAAACATGTGAAATTTAGTCTCTTCATTTTAAAAGTAATGAAAAAAGAAATCTACAGGAGAGACATGACAAGAGAGAGAAAATGAATGAAATCTCTGAAGACAGAGACAGAGAACACAAACCAAAGAAATTCATGGATCTACCAAAAGAAGGAAGAAGCAAGGACTGATTCTCTCTGGAAGCCTTCCAAGGTAGTAACACCTTGATTTTGGACTTCTGGCTTTCAGAACTTTGCATGAATAAACTTTCTGTTTAAAGCCACACAGTTTATGGAATTTGTTGCAGTAGTCTCTAAGAAAGCTGCAATATATGACAAAGAAGCAAGTTTAAAATTGGAGGGACTGGATTTCTATTGTGGCTTAATTTTGTACTGCTTCTGTGACTAAGCAAGTGGCACAACACAGTGATTATCAACCTCTTCATCTCTAAGGGAGAGATAACATCAGTTATCCTGCCATTCTCAAATGTCAATAAAATAGGATAGATATAGATATAGATATATACATACACAATAAAATGCTATCAAAATGGGAGTTTTAGACAAATAGAAGTTCTCCCTATAATCTCCTTCCCACGTTAATTCTTTGGGAGACACTCATCTTTTCTTCAAATGGCATAGCTTCCAAGTCCTTCATCAGAGTGCCCATTATATTTTTGAAGAAGAAGCTTGTCTGTTGTGAGTATAAAAGGTTTTAATCATCAGATAAGAAAATTTAAGAAGGGAGTAGAAGAGAAGAAGATGGGGAGAAAGGAGGAGGAAGACAGGTGGGAAAGAAGAAGGGAAAAGGAAAGGAGTAGGAAGGGAGGAGAGGAGAGGAAAAGGGGTATAGGATGAAAGTTATAAAAGGAAGAAATCAGAAATTTGTGTCAATGCTGTAAAACTATATAAAAAAATAAGCAAAATTTTTACTTTTTTCCACAGGGTGGAAATTATAAAACAAAAAAATTAAAAGCAACAAAAATACTCATTAAGCAGAACCAGAGAAACAAATTATATTCAGTTATTACATCAGAGCTGAAAAAATAATTTAGATTTCTGTGTACCAAGGTGACTATATCTCAAAATTTAGTAAAAAAATATGCAGTTGCAGATAATTATACAAAAGTATGGTGTCATTTACATAAAATGTATACATATAACTATGTCATTTATATTTTTATGAATATGTGCATTATAATAAAATATTAAAGCATGGGAAGGATTAATACATACCAGCTTCTGGACAGGTCCTACCAACCAGTAGGAGGAAGATAAGGGAATGAGATTTGTAGTGGTGCCAATGGTCTTGAGATAAAAATATATAGTTAGGCGGGTGCCACAGCTCACTTGGCTAATCCTCCGCCTGTGGCACGGGCACATCAGGTTCTAGTCCCGGTCGGGGTGCCGGTTTCTGTCCCGGTTACTCCTCTTCCAGTACAGCTCTCTGCTATGGCCTGGGAAGGCAGTGGAGGATGGCCCAAGTGCTTGAGCCCTACACCCACACGGGAGACCAGGAGGAAGCACCTGGTTCCTGGCTTCGGATTGGTGCAGCGTGCTGGCCGTAGTGGCCACTTGGGGGGTGAACCAACAGAGAAGGAAGACCTTTCTCTGTCTCTCTCACTGTCTAACTCTGCCTGTCAAAAAAATATAAATAAATGAAAAAAATATATATATATAGTTAAAAAGAAATTAAAAGAAAAGAATGAAAAAAAGGAATTGAGAGAGGGAGTGAGGTTGAATGGAAAAAAGAAACAAAGTGGGGCAGCACTGTAGCATGGCAGCTTAAGCATCTGCCTGTGTCACTGGCATCCATATTGGTGCCAGTTCGAGTCCTGGCTGCTCCATTTCAGATCCAGCTCCATGCTGATGACCTGGGAAAGCAGTAGAAGATGGCCCAAGAAGATGGAGAGTGAACTGATGGTTGAAAGACCTCTCTCTGTGTCTCTCCCTCTCTTTCTCCATAACTATGCTTCTCAAGTAAATAAAATACATCTTAATAGAAAAAAAAAAAAGAAACAAAGGAAAGACGGTTGAACTAAACTGTTAATTCTTATATCTGGGCCATGAATTCTTAGACTTAAGTTCTTTCTAGTTTTTCATATCATTGGAATTTTACAGTTGTAAAAATGTCATTAAAATATAAATTTGGGGCTGGCACTGTGGTAAAGCAGGTTAAAGCCCCGGCCTGAAGGGCCAGCATCCCATGAGGATGCTGGTTCTAGTCCCAGCTGCTCCTCTTCTGATCCAGCTCTCTGCTGTAGCCTGGGATAGCAGTAGAAGATGACCCAAGTCCTTGGACCCTGGCACCAGTGTGGGAGACCCGTGGGAAGCTCTTGGTTTCTGGCTTCGGATCAGCGCAGCTCCGGCCATTGTGGTCATCTGGGGAGTGAACCAGCAGATGGAAGCCTCTTTCTCTGTCTCTACCCCTCTCTGTAACTCTGTCTTTATAAAATATCTATCTATCTATCTATCTATCTATATACATACATATATATGCACAAAAGAAATATCGTAAATTTAACAGAATATATTTATACTATATGCTATTTTGTCTTAACATTTTTTTTCAAAAAGGTTATGGATTACATTATTACATAGAAGAATGTCAGTATTATAAATAATCTTAAGTGGCTATAAATCCAGAAAAATTATTCTAATTTCCTGGAAATATACCTTGTTTTCAACTGTTAGTAAATGGAATTACTTTTGCCATTTTGCTTGCTTCTAACAGGGGAAGTGTTTGAAATCCAAGTATTTTATTTATTACCATGTTTTAAATAATTGCTTCAAAAATAGAGACGATAGATCTTCTAGTTTATAGTTTTCATTAATCTGGCAAATGACACTTTTCATTCACCAAATGGAAGAATCTTAGAGTTGACTGAACAAGAAGCAAATAGATGAAATGTAACAGTGCAAGCTATAGTGATTTGAAATATAACACATTTATATTCAAATATAAATGTTAAATTTTGTTTGGAAGATCATGTAGCTGACATTTGTAGTTGTATTCCTGTTATGATGATGTACTGCATTCCTCTTGCTATGATAATCTTTGCCACAGGCATGTGGTTGGGGCTACATCACAAATTTTGATCGTGCTATTACAAGTCTTGTTCAATTTCCTAACTCAGTTACTCTAACTTGCTTTCTTTCCATAAGAGAGGTATGCCCTGGGTAAATATACGTCTCTGTTTAGGACACTTCTTTGTTTGAAAGCAATATAATATCCTATTTTAAGCTTTTAAAAAACCAGTTACTACAAAGAGTAATTTAACCTAGTTCAACTGTTGTAAATCTGCCAATGGAACAGAGTACTCTTTCTTAGCAGGGAGTTATGGTATCTCCTGTTTAAGTTAACTTGAATGTTTTCTACCAGAGGTGGCAACCAGGTAATTATGTATGTGTGAATGGGGAGGAGTCACAAGACCCTCTTGCAAGGATGAAAACTTGCTGTCTGCTGGGACCCACCCAAGACCACCTGCTTTGCATTTAGCCTGCTAGTGTTCTGACAAAACGGGAATTCAGTAAACAGAAAAGTCTAGTTTGTAGCTACATGTGCAGAGAGCCCAGAGATATACAATCTCCAAATGCTGATCATAAGTGTCAATCTTAAGCATCATGGCCCTTCAAACATTAGGGATTTAAAAAATTCAAATAAGGGGGCCAGAGCCGTGGCTCACTTGGGTAATCCTCTGCCTGTGGTGCCGGCATCCCATATGGGCACCAGGTTCTAGTCCCAGTTGCTCCTCTTCCAGTCCAGCTCTCTGCTGTGGCCCAGGAAGAAAGTGGAGGATGGTCCAAATGCTTGGGCCCTGCACCCTCATGGGAGACCAGCAGGAAGCACCTGGCTCCTGGCTTCTGATCAGTGTAGCTCTGGCCGTAGCAGCCAATTGGGGGGTGAACCAACAGAATGAAGAGCTTTCTCTCTGTCTCTCTCTCTCTCACTGTCTAACTCTGTCAAAAAAAAAAAAAAATCTAAATAAGGAAGAAAAGTTGCACATTCTGTTTCCATGGGCCCTTGGAATGTATGTCAATAAATTTTTGCTTTACTATCCTTATGTTCATCTCTCTGAACTATAATTCATTACTCCATTGGTTAAAATAAAGCAAGCTGACCACCAGCCTGTGGCAGTGGTATGTATACACATTGCCCCTTTTGAGAGACAGCAAGGAAGAAAGGGATCTACAAAAGAGGGAGAACTCTGTACTGGAGATGTGATTATTTTAAATGTTTTTTTTTCTCTATACTTAATTCTTTTTTATTAAAAACATTTTATTAACAACTGTACGTATTTATGGGGTACAGTATGACATTTGTTTTTTTCTTTGTGTTCCAAGAAGCATTTTTAAAGCTTATTTTAAGACAATGATATTTAACATTTTGCCATATTCATTTCATATATAATATTATATACATACACACACAAACTCCTTTTTTTCTTGAAAATAGGACTATTAATATAGCACAATGTGGGATTCATAAGGTACATGGATCATTCTGATATTTTACTTGGTATTTGTAGTTTAAACTTATTTTATGATGAATAACCATTAATAATTTTAATAGGTTCAATCTGTAAAAACTGAACTCTCCATTTTATATGAATAGCATATAAACTTGATATTTGGTTTGCTGCAATTTTTAAGAAAAATGAATGATCATGAAAAGTATTGATACTATTTTTTCTTGTTAATTTTATGTAATGAAATTTATTGTTGAAAGAATGCATATTAAAGACCACAGAAAACAGACTTACAATGACTTAATATGTACATTAAGACATTGTTAGTGTGATGCATTCCACTTTCATTCTACATTACATTCTTTATCTTTGTAAGAAAAAGACCCATAAAATCTTCTGACTCTGAAGGGAAGAGACGGCTGATTGCGTGCACAATGCAAGTCTTCCTGGATTTTCCCCTTAGTTTTCTTTTCCTCTTGCATTAACTTCCCTGTTTAGGATCACCTACCTGAAAGCAGAATTGTAGGGAAACGTTTCATACATGTTTGTATTTTTGCCGTAGACTCACTTGCCGGGTGAATATGGTTGATGAACGAGTTCCTGGCAATCCATAAAAGAACAGGCTGTGGGAATCCACATTAATCTTCTAAGAGTTTCTGCTGTCGTCCCTCTCTAAAGTTCCTTCCTTGTAAAGTGTTTGTGGTGAAGCAAAAGCACTTTTGCTTTCCACTAAGCAATGTCATCCAGCCAGATTCCAACAAAAGCCGCAGTTCCCTTTTGAATAGTTTCAGTCTCCACTGTTTTATTGGCTGCGGTTCTGGCCTGGGGAAGAGAGACACTATTTGTTTAACTGTGCTTCACAATACAAACAAGCCAAGGAAATATAACTCTTCTGGTCTCTTTTTTTTGTATCTCCTGATAGTAATATGGTTTTAGTCTTAGTGACTGCAAAATTACTCAGCAAACATATGTTAGATGTTTTTATGTGTGTAAGCATTTCTTTAAAGGCTGTACCTAAATAACATAGATGTATTTGGAGTTAAAAGACTGAGAGAATATTTTACTGGTACATTCATAGCATCTCAACAGTATATAAAATGAGTTCCATATTAAGCCATATCTGCTAGTGACTGCAAATTAAAACTTCATAAATTATTTAAGAAAAAAATAATTTATGAGAAGCTTTCAATATGCTTCCTGTTCACAATATTAGTAAGCATCTATAATTCTAAGGTTGAGCTCATATGGGAATCTTTCTTGAAAAAAGAAAGTGTATCTGATTATTGCAAAAAGTTTGCTCTTAAAACCTGAGAGAGAGGCTGGCGCTGTGGCTCACTAGGCTAATCCTCTGCCTGCGGCGTCGGCACACCGGGTTCTAGTCCTGGTTGGGGTGCTGGTTCTGTCCTGGTTGCCCCTCTTCCAGTCCAGCTCTCTGCTGTGGCCCAGGAAGGCAGTGGAGGATGACCCAAGTGCTTGGGTCCCTGCACCTGCATGGGAGACCAAGAGGAAACAGTTGGCTCCTGGCTTTGTATCAGCACAACGCGCCGGCCGTAGCAGCCATTTGGGGGGGTGAACCAATGGAAGGAAGACCCTTCTCTCTGTCGCTCTCTCTCACTGTCTAACTCTGCCTGTCAAAAAAAAAAAAAAAAAAAAAAACTTGAGAGAAATTCTTCTATACAAAACTTATAATATCTAAGACCATTGACAGACTGACAATGTACAAATGATAACAATGGGACTCATCCAGAGCAATGTCTCAGTCACTTTGTATATAGTCTGTATGCACTCTGGAAAGCTGCAGATGCTAATTCTTTGTAACATTATCTTTTGATAAAGAAAATAAACTTGAAAATATGACCATTTTCTTGAAGGAAAAGAAATTCACTCATTTGAGCAAACCCACCACCTGGAATTGATGGTAATTTTGTAGGATGGTTTACCTATAGATGTAGCCCTTTACAAACTTTGGCATTTCTATGTTTTTGACTTAAGAAACAAGTGCCCTGAATAGAAGCATTTTGGGGGCACACATGAAAGGGAATTATGAAATCTATAACCATATAACATCCCACTAGCAAATGTTAGATCTCATAAAGAAATAATATTCAAAGAAATGAAAAATATTGTGCAAAATCCAAATGTTTAATGATAGCTTTTAAGATTCAAATAACACTCATTGAATTATGGTTCTCAAAGTGTGGTCTCCCAAGCAGCAGTTTCATCCTCACTTGGGAACTTGTTAGTGCTGCAGAATTTTCAGCCATATTCCAGGCCTACTGAATCAGAAACTGGGTGTAGACTCCCCAGTTAGCCATTTTAACAAGCTTCCAGCTGATCAGATACACACTAACGTTTGAGGAACAGGACTTTATGCAACATATAAAGTTGACAGAACAAATTCTCAGCCCAAATTAGTGCAATCTTTCTAAAATTTAAATCCATAATTGCAAGTCAATTCTTGGTTACTTGATAGATGAAGATAAGAATCTTTTGCTTCAATATCTATCTTTCATTTCTCAAGGAGCATGATATTTGGAAGTTATGTAGAAAAATATTTACTATCCAAAGACAAAATATCATTTTGAAAATCTTTATAGAAGGAGGCATGATTCAAGAGCAACAAAATATGTTCAAGATAATTTTAGAGTGTTTGTGGGGAACTTTAGTATACAATCAGACATGGCTTATTGCTTTTGCATAAAGTTATATATCTAGCCTTTTCCTCATCACTCCCAAGCAGAATGATTACAGGAAGATATTACTACTATAAAGATGTATCAGCCTCCCCTAACTTCTGTACTCTGTTATTCTAATGAACAAGCTATGACAGAAGCAGAAGAATATAAAATTTTATACAGAAATTTCTGGTGACTTGTTGTAGTACAGTGACATACATTGAAAAAAAAATTGTTCATGGGCATGTATTCTAAATTTGTGGGACACCCAGAGTCATCTGGTAATAAGTGTACTTAAAAATCAAGCAATATTTTGAAACTCTGTTCATTTTAGTATTTCCTATTCTACTAAGATGAAGTATTAACACTAATTCCATCTTATAGGAACTTGAACAAAATAGAAAATTTCTTTTGTTTGAATTTTCTCATTCACAAATTGGGGAATAAATTTTTGCTCTTTTATCTGATGAGAAAGAAAGAAGAAGAGAAAGATCTCTCTCTATATCTATCTATCTATCTATCTATCTAGATATCTATCTAGATATCTAGATAGATAGATATGGGGGGGGGAGAGAGAGAAACCCATATTCTGGTTCACTTCCCAAATGTTTACAGTGGCTGGGGCCAGGATGATGCTAGAGGTAGGAGCCAGAAATGCAATCCAGGACTCCCACTTGGGTGGCAGGAATGAAATTACTTGAGCCATCACCACTTCCTTCCTAGGAAAGCTGGAGTCGGGATCCAGAGCCAAGAATCAAATCCCAGCACTCCAATATAATGTGAGGATCTTAACTACTAGACTAAATGCCCATACATTGGGAATAAATTTATCTGTAAAGTATTTTTCTAGAATTAGAATATTGGGAAAAAAGATTCAAAAACATACTACATTTAAAATAGTGCCTGGCACATAAAAACTGCACACTTAATTATCTTTTGTTATTAATTTTTCCTAGCATTTCACAATTAATCCTTGAAATAAGGCATTTTAAAAACATCATATCATAATGTGATACCATGTGGTAAAATTACATTTTAAATTTTAGGGAATAGACTTCTTAAAAATGGACTCAATATTTAAATTTGTTGATATGTTAAAAATATTTACTGTAATTATCACTTGCTTCACTAGATACTAATTTGCTTTTTTGATATCCATATTTGTCCGATTATATTCTTAAACAGAGCTAGGAATAGGAATAGTTAAAGGAATACTGCACAAAATAGTCATTTCTCAAGAGATGCAATCCACACACCTACTGTACATTTTTGGAATGTGCTTCAAGTCACTCTTTGAAAGTAGTATAATAAAGTGCACATCAGGAATGGGAATGAGTCCATTCTCACCATCTGTTCTTAATTTTTTTGAGCTGAAGACTCTGTATTATTAAACCACTGTGTAAAATGTTAAAATGGCATTACAAACTTGAGTTAAATCCAGAAGAGTTCAGAGAAGTTGAAATTATTTGAAAAAATATTGAGGTCGGTGCCGCGGCTCACTAGGCTAATCCTCCGCCTTGCGGCGCCGGCACACTGGGTTCTAGTCCCGGTCAGGGCGCCGGATTCTGTCCCGGTTGCTCCTCTTCCAGGCAAGCTCTCTGCTATGGCCCGGGAGTGCAGTGGAGGATGGCCCAAGTGCTTGGGCCCTGCACCCCATGGGAGACCAGGAGAAGCACCTGGCTCCTGGCTTCGGATCAGCACGGTGCGCCAGTCACAGCGCGCCAGCCAAGGCGGCCATTGGAGGGTAAACCAACAGCAAAGGAAGACCTTTCTCTCTGTCTCTCTCTCTCACTGTCCACTCTGCCTGTCAAAAAATAAAAAATAAAAAAAAATTGATAGTTACATTACAATGATGAGTAAAGTGAAGCTATCCCCTGATTCTCAGGTAACTGAACTTTATTTTTTAAATGTCTCGCAAGTTTAAAGTTCTTCCAAATATATTGCTAACCAAATTGCATGTATATTCCATTCCTATATAAGCATGTACAATTTTTAACCCAGCTTCCTTTACATTCATTTTGGTTCATAAGAATTTTAATATATCTTCCAGCACCCCAAACACACACTTTAAAGAGCTCATAGGATCATATGACTGAATATTGGAGACTCTTTCAAGATCTCAGCCTGACATTTTGCACAAATGGTAAATGACTTGACTTACTTTGCCCAGGAGTGTGGACTATGTTGTTTACATTACTTTTTGTGGCAGCCTTGAAAATTTCCAGAACCTTCTGAACCACTATGTTAAGAACTGGTCTTAGGGCTAAACAGGCTTTAATGAAATTAGAAAAGATGCAAAAGTCTGCTTAGCTCCAAAATATCTCCATCCTTACTCCTGTGAGTTTGCTAGAAACTCTCCTATCAATCACTATTCTATACTGAGATTAAACGATACTGTTCAAATGCAAATATAATTTGGCTTAGACACCATCAACATGTATTCAAGAGAAGCTAAGCACAATTTGAACTACAATAATCAGCTCCTTTGCAAGAACCACTCTCTGAGGGCACGTGTCCAATAACCCTCAACCCCTCTCACTAGACCCACTTCTCAGATACTGTAATTGTATCAAGTCTCCACCTGAAGCCATCAACCAGTAATATTAAGACAGCAGAGTTTAAGCATCTTGTGTGAGTTTTGAGGAGACAAATCCCAAGTCCTACTCAACCCACAACAGATGCCTTGTTCATTTTCTTTGGAAATAATGACCCAGTTAATTAATTAGTCATAAGATGCTCTTGGAAGCATTTCACCCAATTGGGTGGCAACAGATTGTCTGAAAATCCTTCCCAGGCAGGCTAGGCTATTACTTGTTCCTTTCATGAGTTTACACCACATTGTTACCTAAAGAATATGGATGCCTTAGCCTCTTTTGAGTGGGGATATATTGCTCCCTTGTTTTAATTTGATTTATCTTTTGAGAATTAAACTCTGAGCTTGCTCAGTTTTATGATCCGTTTTCTGGAATGACCTGAATCACTTCTGATAAATTCACTGTCTCTGCTTTGTACTGGTGCTCTCTGCTCTCACATTCCTCTTGAAGAAACATTTTTCCTTATATACTTCTTTATTCCAATCTTAGGGCCTTTGCATGGAGGTATTAATCATCTATGTTCATTTCCAGGATAATTCTCCTGTAAGCTTCC